TGTACAGTTATTAGCAGAGATCGTCTTTACTGTGATCTTATGTAGCAACAAACATTTTTGTTCATTGAAATAAAGATGAAATATATGAGGGTCAAAGACGAAAAAGGGTTTAAGCATAAAAACAATAAGTGTAATACTGCTTTAAATTGTTGTTGTTTTCCCCCAAAAAATTTATAATTTTCTCTTTAATTTAATTGCATTTTTGTTTTTTTCAGAGCAAAAAAATTATTATTGTACATTTGTCCCTGATTTACAGAAGAGAGCCACTAAAATGTCATTCAGTGTAGCAATCTTGTCAGGCATATTTACAACAAAAATCTATTTATGACATATTAAAAGACTAATTACTTTCACCCCAAATACTAATTAGCTGTCATTTTACATTTTTTAAATGTGCCTCTATCCTAGGTTTTGCCCATTTGTCAGTAAGATTGTTTTACTCATTTAAAACCCAATCAAATTTAATATGCTCACTTATTATTTTATATATTTTAATATGTACACGTCAGAATAAGCATGTTGTTTGAATTTTTACATAAATATTGCGTTACACTGAATGATAACGTAACATTATTTCAACCAAATTAACATTTTATTCTTCAAAAACGTATTTGAAACCTTAAAAGTAGACACTTTACTTGCATTTAATGTGCTTTCTACGGACATATTGTAAATTTATTTTGATGCGGACATCTTAACGACGTCTTTGACCCGTGAACATCTTAGGATTTATATTAAGAACTTTAACAATTAAGAAGGAATTTTTCTTAAGGATTCTGTGAATCCGTCTTGTAATGCGTGCATGATACGTGAAGCTGTTGATGCTGAATACAGTTTCTCTTTTCCAGAGGAAGTTCAACATCACACTGGACCACAAATCCCACATTTTTCAGAATCTCAATGGAGCCATAGGTTCGCTGAATGAAGTCCTGCCGTAATTCTGCCTGTTTAGTGTGATTTTGTCTGATGGATGTGTGTTTTTCCAGAGGAAGTGGTCCTGAAGTTTGAGAAATCCAGAGTCAGAGCTCGGAATGTGGCCTATGACACACTTCCTGTCGTTATCCATGGCAACGGCCCGACTAAGGTTAACGCAAACGTTCTTTTTGCACAGTTGCTCTGTTACAGTTGCGCCCTCATGTAACGTAACATACAAACATTTGCTTTACTGCTAATCACACGGTGATATGCATATACACTAGAGGTCGACCGATAGTGGATTTTGCCGATACCGATAGTTAGGTTGGACCACACTGGCCGATACCGATTAATTAACCGATAGTTTTAAAATTGATACTGAACAAAAACTAAAATAGTGCTTTATTAACAAAAACAGTACTGAACCATACTAGTAGTAGTAGTAATAATAATAATAGTATTAGTAAATGTTGAAATTAACACCCTCTAACAAGGAACAACACTTACACAGCTTTCATTAATCTTAATGCTACAAGTGGACTCTTATTTTAAAGTGTTACCATTTAATTTCAACTTTCATACTTAAAGATGCACATCTTTAAATATATACACAAAGGCTATAGCATTAAAATGATATACATATGGATATTGTATGTATACTCACACTTTATTAGTAGTAATAATAATAATAGTATTAGTAAATGTTGAAATTAACACCCTCTAACAAGGAACAACACTTACACAGCTTTCATTAATCTTAATGCTACAAGTGGACTCTTATTTTAAAGTGTTACCATTTCATTTCAACTTTCATACTTAAAGATGCACATCTTTAAACCGGAGAACTCACCGGTATCACACACACTCCGGACGCGTCGCGTTCAACTCGAGCAGCGGTCTAAAACTGTTTATTTAATCACCAAACGGACACAAGTTTACTTCAAGAATGAACAATTTGGTATAGATGAGTTTGAAGTTCAGTGTTTAAAAAACGGAGCAAATGGAAAGAGAAAGCGCGACCTATATTATAGCTCTATAAATGAAGCACACAGACTTTATTCGAGCCACAGAAAGACAAACGTTTGGCTCAAAATGCACAATACACAATTCATCATGTACATTAACAATGATTCGGGACCAATATAATGTAATTTAAAGGAAAACTATGTGAATGGCGCTCTGTGGCGCGGCAGGATTTTCTGTCGGCTGCATTTAAATCCGCGTCTGAATTTTCCCGCTCTGTTCAGCGTGCAGTATCACGTGTCTAAACAAATAGCACGTGCTGTCAGTGATTTCAACCACTAGAGGCCGCTCTCGCACTGTATAATGACAGCAGACCCTTCTCAGCCGCTCCAGCAATGGACGCAACCCGGAAAACTATCGGCATGGATTTTTGCCGATAACCGATAGTTCCAGCAATCATCGGTCGACCTCTAATATACACCAATGAAAATATATATATTTTTTATTAAAATAAATTAATTATTCAGCAGTGATGCTTTAAATTGCTCAAAAGTGAGAGTAAAGACGTTTATAATGTTACACAAGATTTCTATTTCAAATAAATGCTGTTCTTCTGAACTTTCTATTCATCTGTGAATCCTGAAAAATAAAATGCATCACAGTTTCCACAGAAATATTGTGCAGCACAACTGTATTCAACATTGATAATAATCAGAAATGTTTCTCGAGCAGCAGATCACCATATTGCTATATTTAATTATTATTCATTAAAATGACAGTGTATTTCATATTAATAATAAGTAATTATAATAATTTATAAATCTAAAAATTTAATAAAATACAACTATATATATATATATATATATATATATATAAATGTTAAATATGTAATAAGTAAATATATAAAATATGAATTATAAATACAAAACTTTATTTTTATTTTTTAGGATTTTATCGCACTTTTCATTTGTCACGTATTTAAATAATTTAATTGTTCAAACGTAGATTTTAACAAATTATTATTTAAAGCTTTTCAATTTTTTAGCTGTGAAAATATCTTCGTTTAATAGGCATCACAATATTATGAGTAAATCATCTTGAATTTGGGGACTAACTGTTTATCTGGCCAGTGCTCAGGAAACCTGTTTGGAAACAGTCATTATTTGTGTGATTTGCTTTGGATCGCTGGTAACATATGAACTATTTGTTGTTGTTGTTGTGTGTGTGTGTGTGTGTGTGTGTATATAGCTCCAGCTGAATTATCTGGGTAACTATGCACCGTCGGCGTGGACGTATGAACACGGCTGTGGGATCTGTGACGA